CGGCGGCGCCGCCCTCACCTGCCCGGGATCCGCCCGCGCCCGCTCCGCTCCCTGCGCCGCCTCGGGCCGGCTCCGCAAGATGGCGGCGCTTCCGGGATAGACCACAGCGAGCGCGGGGTGGGGGGGCTGGGGCGGTGCTCCCGCTCCCGCCCCCCCCCGCGCCGCCACCGCCCCCGCGCCCCGCCCGGCTCCGCCCCTCCCCGGCCCCGCCGGGCCCCGCCCGCCCCCGGCCCGACCCCGCCGCGGGCGCCCCCTGTGCGCGCGCTCGGTGCGCGCGGCTGCGGTGCTCGCTCGCCCCTCGGCCCGGCCCGGCCCGGCCCGGCCCGGCGCGGCGCCCATGGGGATGGTGGAGGCGCTGGGCGCCGGCGCGGCGCGGCTGCTCTTCTACCCCTCGCTGCTGTACACGGCGGCGCGGGCGCGGCTGCCCGGGTCCCGCCGGCCCTGGTTCCACCGCATCGACGAGGCCGTGCTGCTCGGGGCGCTGCCGCTGCGGGGGCGCAGCCGCAGGGTAAGGCGGGCGGGCGGGCCGGGCCGGGCTGGGCCAGGAGGGCGGCGGTGCCTGACCGCGCCTGTGCCCGCAGATGGTGGCGGAAGAGAACGTGCGCGCCGTGGTCACTCTCACCGAGAACTACGAGACCCGCTTCTTCTGCTGTTCCCCGCAGGTGAGCCCGGGCATTGCCTATGACCCCCGGACAGGTCTCTTGACGCTCCGTCGGTCCCGGCGCAGCGAGGCTTTATCGGCCTCCTGCCGCGATCCCGGCAGCGACCGCCAAGTCCTGTGACAACGAAGACGTGACTTCTCGCACCTTGAAAACTTACTTTACTTACAAACCAGTAAAATGTGAGGATGCCAGTGAACTTTACAGCTGCAGTGGTGGGGAGGGACGGGGAGCATTGAATCCACGTACAACGCTATACAGGAATGCCTTTAGTTTTGGGAAGAGATCCCAACTCCCCTGTTTTCCTTTAGCTGAACCACATCTTTTTAGTTCCCTTTAACTACTCCTTTCTGATGGTCAGCACAAAACTTTTCATACATCTGATTTAAAAGATTGACATTCACAGTCTGTTTACAGTCCCACTGAGTTTTTCAACTGCCTGAACAGGTTTTGGGTTTCTTTCAGGAAAAAAACCCTACCAAACAGAAAGTTAACTGACCAAATCTGCTATGTCCATTTCAGGAATGGGAGGCAATGGGAGTTGAGCAACTCTGTCTCAGCACTGTGGATCTAACTGGAGTCCCCACCTTAGAAAACCTCCACAAGGGCGTTGACTTCATCATGAAACACCGAGCCTGCGGTAACACTGTCTATGTGCACTGCAAGGCAGGACGCTCCCGCAGTGCCACCATGGTGGCAGCATATTTAATTCAAGTAAGGAGTCTGTACTAAATGGGGGTTACTTTCATACAGCCTAGGCAAAAGCAGACAACCTTTATAGTTTGCTCTTGCTCAAGAAACCTGAGCATGTACAGGTTCATCAATATTCCATGATTTTACAGAGTTTGTACGCCCATTTTAAGAGAGGCCTCAAACTTACCTTGCTGTTTTGCATGGAAATGAAAGTTTTGAATGATTCTGCTGTTCTCAGTTCTTTCTGTGGAGGAACATATTGAGGTGGGAATAACAAGTAATTCATGAGGGTAGGTTCACTGAGCCGAGAAACACCCATTTTTCTTCAGATTTTCTCCTTGGTTCACTGAAATGGTGAGCCTTCCTATGCTTTTCAATAAATACAATTCATGATCCAGAGAACTGACTTTGGTTTTCTGAGTTCCTCTATTGACCCAACAGGGTAAGCCAGCCCTAAGAACAAAATTCTACCTGTGGATTCTTCTGTTGGTGTTATTAAGTGCTCCCTGGAAAATTTTCCTTCCATGCTGAAGGGAAGATTTTCTCACTAGGTGCTGAAGTGCAACATTAATAGCAGTAAAGTTTTTTTAAAATTTAAAAATGCAAGGTGCGCTTTTGCTCTGGTCTGGTGGGACTTAGGACAGGAAACTATTCACAACATGAAGGAAGAGTAAGTGAGACAGAAAATGGGAGGGCCCAGGCAGCAACTATCCCTCTTTAACCGAGGGACTCATTTCATGAATGATTGCATGACATTTGGGCTTTGCTGAGAGGACTATGAAGTAAACAGAAGGGGCAGAGCAGTAAGTTTTCTAACACCTCTAATGTTGCCTGTAGCCTGTGGGAAGGTTCCATGAAATGGTGCAGGGTTGGAATGGATTTTCACTTGCTGGGTTTCTGCCTTTTCAGCTGCATCACTGGAGCCCTCAGGAAGCAATTCAGGCCATTGCCAAGATTCGTCCCCACATCCTCATTCGACACAAGCAAGTCCAGGTCCTGGAGAAATTTCACAGGAACATAAACACTGGGACAGCTGCATAATGTCAGTAAGAACTATCAAAAAATCTCCATCTCAGCTGCTTTAAAAAAAATGTTTTTATGATCTAATCAAGGCTTAAGTGTTGTTCTTCTTGACCAACAATAAAAAAGATTTTACATAAACTACAGTAAAGGGGAAATTGGGCTGTTGCTTTCTTTTCTTGTAGCTAATATCTTAGTTCTCTTGGAGCCTCATAGTTCTTTTCCAGATATCAGTGCTCAGCTGAACTGCAAATCCACAGGAAGTTAAAAATATTTGTATTTGAAGCAAAGGAAAATACAAACACCTTTGTCTCAACTGAGACTTTATTCAGATTCTTACCCAAAGGGTTACAGTCCCAACAGAGAAGGGTAGGAGGAAGTGGTCTTGATTCTGTCTCTCACCAACACTATGTTATAATTACAGGTGAGGATTCCCTGTACAGTAAAGGAAGCCAATGTCTAAAAATGATCTCCTTCTTTATACTAGGTGATGACAGAGCAGTAAGCAAGCACCCATTTAGTTACCACTCCTCTAGAAGTGCTGAATGCAACCTACTTAAGGTTCTAGGGTCACCTCTGGAATCTGTCTGCCATGCCCTCCTTCTGCAATAGGACATAGGAATGTTTAAATGGGGATATCCCTGGGGGATACAGTGCACATCTAACTCTGTGATTGACGTGGCAATCAACACATGGTCTTCTAGGCAGTTAACACTAGCAGCCTGGGCCAAGGAAGATGTTGTCCATATGCCACAGGATTTGTTGTTGGTAGATTAGTTCCAGGCTAAAATAGCCATTTGCTGCAGTTTGTGCCTCAAACACCAGCAGCTTATCATCAAGGAATCAAAGTAATGGCATTTAGTCCATCTGAATTCTAAGATATAAGAGTTCAATAAAGTTCAATAGTGCTATGTAAAAGAAGAGGCCCACAGTCAGAAAGCCTGTACTTCCTCGGCACAGGTAAAGAGAATGGGGTCTTTACTGGATGTTGTGAGCTTGTGGTAATTGGGACTGGTGCTGAGGGTGGTAGATGTCTCCGAGCTGCACAGTAGGATACTGTTGCTGCCCTTTCTATCACTAGTCCTGTTTTTCCTGCTTAAGCCAGGACAAACTGCAGGTTAGTGAGCAGCACTTTGATGCCACTCGTGACTGTTACAACAGAGGTGGCTGGGTTAAGTTTAAAAGTGTTTGCATCACCCTTTTTATAGCGGTCACGAAAGACATATATGCTGCCGTTGCAGCTGGCAATTTTCCAAAGGGATGGTACCGAACTCCAGGCATCTGGGAGGCATAGCCGGGTGAAGCTATCCAGTAGGGGATTATAGCATAGCAGTGAATCCCCCTCAGCGACAATGAACACCACGTCCTTGTGCACAGCAGCGTGCATGCGCCCCGCAAAAGGCAGCACGTATGGCTTCACGTGGCATTTCTCTGTGTTGGTATCGTAGCACTGAATTAGCCGAGAGGGCTTGGTGAAGAAGTCCAAGTCATTTTCCTCCCCGCCCAGCAGGTAAATGACACCATTAAGGTTTACACCTGCAGCGCCAGAGACTGCCACTTCCAACTGGCTGGTCTCTGTCCAGACGTTGTCTCGTACTCTGTAATATATGACAGCATTAGAGAGAGTGTCCTGTAGAGTTTTCCCCCCCAGTGAATATATTGCATCCTTGCTTGGCACAGAGACAAGGGTGTGTTGGAGCCGGTCACGGGGCAGAGGGGCACACCATTCCCAGTCTATAGTCGCATTGTTGCATTTCCACATGCGTCGTGGAATGGAGCCACCAACAACATACAGGTCACTACCGTGCTTGCAGGCTGCGGTGATCTGGTGACACAAGCTGTTCTGGCCACTCACACTGATGGAGTCATCGTCAGCGCAGTGCAGAGAGACAGCGAGTGAATGTGTACGTGATGACTCCTTTCCAATCAGGTAGATGTGAACATTTTCTCCAATCACCTGAGAGAAAGGAGAATTAGATCTGTTTACACAAACATCACTGGATTTTTCAGCTTAGGACGCATCTGTGGGTCTGAGGTATAAAACCTTCCTTCCAAGTCCTGCCACCCTACAGCATTCAGGACTCAGAGCCTCAAGGCCTTTCCAAGATACCAGTCATGTCTGACAGCAAAATAGCCACAGGATGTCACTGGAAACCAAGTGGTTATGATTTAGGTAAGGGCCAGTTACATCTCTGATGGAGTACAGTTATTTTAAGGGGAATGCCAAATGTAGATTTCTGAATGATCTCTTTGGTAACTGAGCATCAAGGGAAAGAAGGTATTTGTGGTGTTGCTCTAATCACCAATGATATCAGCATCAGGTTAAATTAAAAAAAGCTGTCAGTGGGGTTGCTTTTTATGACAATGAAAGTACTCTCACAAGCACCATCAATTTCAATGCATTTATGTTTTGCAACTTTAAAGTCACACCTGTGAGCAGAACACCCTGCCCTGGTAATTGTGAAACCTGCAAGTGCTACACCAGCCCCAGAACAGAAGGTCTTTTCATGCCTTCAGACTTGATCGCAGAGTCTCTGAAAAGCCAGCTCGCTCCTCCTTGTTGAAGTTGATCCAGGTTTCTATGGCAACTGTTGGATTCTGAGAACATGGAACGCCATCTGCAGTTCGGGGATAGAAAGGCATTTATGATATCTAGACAAAGGTGTGTGTATTCAGAAACATCCTTTTCCTGTGACAGCCTTCCCCCACTCCCACTACATGAAATTAGTCTGGGTAAGTATCAGAATCTCAGCACATGCCTTTCTTTCTGGATGGTCCTAGAAATCTATCTAGCAAAAGTCACCTGCAGAATGTCTGAGCCCTGTCAGACAGCTGACCTCCATGACTGAACATCTGGTGTTGCTGCTATCCTCTTAACATTTGGAAATCCCCAGTGAGCTACTATAGCTTTTCTTAGCCATGTGACAGTAGGAAACACTCAACAGACTGCACCTGATTTCAATCTGTCTCCAGACATAACTGGAAGTTTTGGTTAAGCCACGCACTATTGCATCATCATCATCATCGTCAGTACATTACCAGAAGATTTTAAGTATTTCCTTCCAGTTTGAAGCCATCAATTATGCCTGTATTCACTGAGAAGTTTTCCCTATGAAGGCTCTCTGATTTTGTAGTTTGCTCTCATGACAAACCCCAAATTTAATGATGCTGGAGGCACTAGACAAATTCCAACTCTTTTCTCTATATTGGAAGGGAGGAGAAAGAGTGTGGCACAAAAGCAGGTATTTTAACTCTCTTTATTAGTAAAAGGGATTTCCATAAGCCAACCATCACATGTAGTGATTAAATGGAAAAAAACTTGGGATTTTGAAATTGGTCCAAGAGTGCAACAAAAGCTAAACTTAATAAGTTACTATTTTATTAAATAAATTTTAATTCTTGCTACTACTAGCTTCCTCTATTTAATTTTTCATTAACTAAACAGAGATGCAGGAAATGCAAAGGATTTCCCCTACCAGCAGTGGGAGCATATTTCAGATTTTATGAGCTACGTTGCAGCATAAATATTGAGTAATGTGACTCTATGTATGGAAATAGACAATGCATAGAAAAAAAATTTTACTGAACAATTATTTTAATTTAGGACCACAAACACTGAAGTCCATAGTCCTAAAACTATGATTACTATGTGGAATCCCTAAGAACTTAAAGGTGATAGACCTCCAGAGTTTTATTTCATGATTTTAGAGGGATTTTTTATTAAACTCCCAACTTACTTTAAAAATTTTAGCTAGATAGTTAGCAAAATTACTCCAATTTTATCATATTTTTGAGCTATTAGTACATATACTCAATGGGTTTTTTACTGAAAATTTCTTTAGATGTAATAGAGACAATATAATGGAATATCTGTAATGACTCTCAGATGCATAGCATCAACTCCTAAGGCTATTTTAAGCCTTATGGACAGATTCACCAGTATTCCAAAGACACCAGTCATGGTAGGGTTATTGTTGTAACAACACATAAAACCCATGAGTACAGTTATTTACTCATTTGAAAAGAATAATTAAAGCAAGGAAGGGGCATATTTGAATGTATGAGCTGCTTCTACATTCCTGCTTCCTCTAGCAATGATACATAAATGCACAAAAATCGAGTTATGACTGTATCCTGAAGGCGTAACCAAGTACTGTCTGCACCTACTAGGGCAGCAGATAACCTTCAATGATTGGTGCAAGCTGGAGTAAGTTATTTTTGTGTTGACACATCTTTCACAACATTGAGTCACTGCATCCATTACTGTGGAAGTCCATTACCTTTACAAGAAGGGTACTTACTGTATTAACTAAGACGCTACAATGCCTCTATTTCAGTCAGCTGAGTGCCTAGCCTAAATAATCCTAACAATTATATACAATTGTAAATAACACCAACATAGTCTAAAAATACAGGTTGTTCACAAGCCTTCTTACGAATGTTGAGTTATTGCATTACTATGTTAAATGATTAGGAACTAAAATGGAAAAAAAGGCTTTCATAAGATGTTTATTTTTGGTAAGGCTTCTTGGTTTTAATGCAAACAAAAACCCAACACACTTTTGGAATTTATGTTTAAAAAACCTGTAATACTTCTAACCTGTTGACTCAGGAACTGCTGGGAACTACCAGCATCCTCTGTGACCCTTTTCTACAGTTTAGATGTTTCATGTCCAGTAACAATAGCTTTGGTTTTTTTCTGAATAAGTTATCCAGAATGTTTTGCTTTGCTTTGCTTAGTGAAGTCTCTGAGTAGACTGTGATTATGAAAGCTTGGATCTTGCCATTTATTTCATTCAATCCCTGACAGACTCTCTGAAAGTGTCTTTCTACATCCACATCCCGACTCGTTTCAAGAACTCCTTACCTGTAAGGATGTCTGTCAGTAGGCGGACAGGCAGGTGTAGGAACTCCTCTGTGTCTTGCAGCTGAGACAAATGTGACTTTGCACAGTGTTTTGCAGCTGTGTAGAGCTCCACGTCACTGTGTTGGTCTGCCAACCACATGACCTGCAGACAGTTTCTAACCTGCACCGTACGGGCCAGAAAGCGGGAGCACTCTTCAAAAAGGGCAGTCAGCTGGTACATGTCTGCCACTTCATAGGTCTCCTGCAACTCCTCTGCCCTCAGCTTTACAGTTCCATGGTAGATGTAGTCCACAAGAAGCTGAAAGACACTCTCGCTGACGTCCTGCAGCTCAATCACCCGGTTGTGGGCCTCCTTTAGGTTGGAAGTGAACATAGAACGAAAAAAGCAACTCTGAGCTGAGAGGACCAAACGGTGCAGCTGGAATTCTTTACCTTCCACTGATATTGTAACATCGGCAAAGAGCTCATCCTCCAAGCACAATTTCATAATACCCTGGGCCACGCGGCCTGAGTGGGAGCGATCAGTGAAGGTGTAGTTCACAAAGTAGTTTTCTTCTGCAGAGGAGCCTCCAGTCTCTTCTGATGAGTCCATGGTGCTGCACAGATCAGACCTCCAGCAATCTGTAAAATCACAATAATTATATGGTTTTCTTTCTTCACTAAGAAGATTATGCAGTGCTTCAGGGTACAGGGAAAAATCAAACATATTGGTAAGAGTCCAGCATATTTTAGACTGAATATAAATAGCACACCAATAAACTTCTGCTTGAGCTTCAGTCTCAAACAACAAATGAGAAGCTGGCATAATTAAAATTATAATATATACCAAACTTCCAGTACAGTGAGCATCACATCCCTGCAGAGCTGGGAGATGTGCATATCTTTTCACCACTCATTTCACTGACACAAAGAAATGCATCAATAGTTATTCAAGTGGAAAGTCCAGCAACCGCTCTAGGAAACTTGTAAAGCCAAAAAAAAGTGGCAACAATGTAGCTAGACTAGATGTAAAAAGGATTACAGTATTGTACTAACAAAGAGCAGAGGCAGCAGCTCGTATCATTAGGATAATTACCATCCAAACCCAACATGATGAATTGCGCAGTTTTATCAAGTAAGGCGAGTTTGTTTTTACCAAAAAGACGCGTGAGAAGTCTGTCAGACATAACCACCAGTCCTTCATGCTAACCAAATGAGACAACTAATGGTCATACTCTGCTTGTTAATGTGCCAGGCACCTTCAGCATGCAAAACAACATGTTAGATGTTGTTAGTCACTGTTTCCCAAGCAGAAAGGGGGGAAAAAATTAAAGAAAACACCTCTTAGTAGCTACTACAGATGTTTGCAGAGTTCCAGGTAGTTGTGGGTCAAAAAAGCTTCTGGAAATGAGGACTGCTATAGGAAGGAGCTCTTTTTTAACATGGCTTTTGAAAGCATTAAGAACAAATAGTTGCCCACTTGCATTCACTTTAAACTTATTTTTACAACTGAACTACTAGCCATGGTGGCTGATATCACAAATTTCTTCAGTCAATACTGAACATGATTTTCAATTCAATGTTTCCTAAAGATATGATTTTTCTCCAGGAGATTCACAGTTACTGTTCCATTATTTATTTTGTCAAACATGCATTTTTTTACAATAGCTCTGTTTGATGCAGGAGGGCTCCTAAGTTCTTTGCTCAAATTCAGTTCACAGAAAGAAATTTCTACATCCTTAATTGCCTGGACAGGTCTGTCCCATCTCTAGTGATGGCCTATCTTAATTATACCCTTATCACGATTTTACAGTAATTCTGGTCTGTCTGAAAAATACCTATACATTAGTCTGTAAGAGATTGAGGAACTTCAATTAGGACAGTACACATCAGTACTATTTTTTCCAGCTTTATCAAGTATGAGCCTATCCTGGAAATTAGCTCCTACTTCAGTTAAAGCTCTTTATCCTTACAGTCAAAGTGCTCAGAAGATAAGCCCAGAATGCTGAAGAGATCACAAAGAGTACCATGACACAGAGGGATGAACTACCCTGCCCTCTTGACGTGACAGAACCAGCTTCCCACACCGCCCTCCAAAATTCCCAGAGGACTGGTGCCAAGTCACAAAAGAAATGCCAACAGCAACTAAAGACTGCTGCAAACCTCATATCCTTCTTAGCAACACAAAGCTGCCCTTTGCATCCACAGCATCTCTGATATAAAAGAAAAAGGTGTGGAGGACAGTTAAGTGTCCCATAAAGCCAAATCTTACACTCCATGTATTCCGTAGGCCAGGCTACTGGTGACAGTGGTGTAGCCAACACCTGGCACGCCTCCTTCACAGACCTGGCGACAGTGGTGTAGCCAACACCTGGCACGCCTCCTTCACAGAATCACAGAATCCATTAAGCTGGAGATCATCAAGTCAAACGTATGACCGAACACCACTGCGTCACCTAGAGCATGGCACCAAGTGCCACGTCCAGTCTTTCCTTAAACACCTCCAGGGATGGTGACTCCACCAGCTTCCTCGACAGTCCCTTCCAATGTCTCATCTCCCTGTGAAGAAATTCTTCTAATGTCCAACCTGAACCTCCCCTGGTGCAGTTTAAACTTATGCCCTCTAGACCTGTCACTAATTACTCAGCAGGAGAGGTCGACTCCTACCTGGCTTACAGCCTCCTTTCAGGTAGCTGTAGAGGCTTATAAGGTCACCCCTGAGCCTCCTTATCTCCAGGATAAACAACCCCATCTCCCTCAGCCGCTCCTCAGAGGACTTGTGCTCCAGCTTCCTTTCTTCCTTGCTCCTGACAGGATCACGGATGCCGTGGCAGCGCCCGGGACCAGGGAACTTAAAAAAACCTGACAACGACCCCACGGTCCGGGGCGGGGAGAAGAAAGGAAGGAGGAAGGAAGAAACGCTAATCCTCGGAGAGGCGCAGACCCCCCTCAGGCCCGTGCTGTCGCCGTGCAAAGCGCCAGCGCGTCCCCTCGCCCCGCAGCGCTGGCTCAGCCCCGGGAGCTGCTCCCGCCGCGCCCCGCGCCGCTCGCTGCCCCGTCCCCGGGCCGGCTGTCGCACTGCTCCCGCCCCGGCCCCGCGGCTCAGCACCCACCTGCGGCGCCTCCCTTCATGCCGCCGCCCCGGGGTGCCCCAGCGGCTGCTCCCGCCCCTCACCCTGCGCCAGGCGCTGCCGGGCACTCGCCGCTCCCGCCCACCGACCCGGCGCCGGCCCCGGGAAGCTCTTGGTGCGCTTCCGCTCCCGGGGGCAGCGCGGCGGCGCTTTCCGCTTCCGCCCGGTGCCCTTGCCGCTCCGTGTCCCGGCGGGATGTTGGCGGCGGCGGCCGCCAGGGGCCTGGCGCGGGCCGCGCTGCGAGGTGAGGCCGCCCGGGGCTCGGGGGCTGTCCCGGGGGGCGGCGGCCGGGCCGGGCCTGGCCGGGCGGTTGGCGGCGGTCGCTGAGACGTGTCCGTTTCTCTCCGCAGCTGGCGCGGCACCGGCGGCGGCGCAGGCCCGGCTGGCGGGGAGCTCTGCCGGGGAGACTCGCCGTGAGTGCGGGGCCGGTTTGTGGGCGGGGGGCGGCGGGGAGCCCGGGGCGTGCGGCTGTGCCCCTGCCAGCCGCCGGCTCCGCGGGAGGGCACTGAGCTGCCCCAAGGACGTTCCTGGGCGATAGAACCGCTTTAGTGTAGGGGAAGAGTGTCGGGAAAGGGTTGGGGCCTGTCGCCTGTAAACCTGTATTTTACGCAGAAAATGGGGTAACGGTGCTTGCTCGGGATTCCCGTGTTTGCCCTGGATTCCCATATGCATCCTTTCTCGTGGGTCCGCCTGTTTTTTCTGTGCCTGGACAGCAGCTTCATAGCCCCTCATTGCCCTGAATCTTAAGGATTTGTGATCATACCGACAGTGAAAAAACCCCCATAGACAACAACCTGTTGTTTGTTTTTTAATTATGAGGAAGGTGCTTAGATGCTGGCAGATACAACAACACCAGAAAACAAGATCTCTTTTAGACCCAGATTGAATGGCATGAGTAGTATCTAAGTTCAGATTGTTCTGTCATTTCTGCCTTCCTGTTTTTCATCCTGTTACTTTCTTCTGTGTCATCTTTTTGGACTTGCCTGCTATGTTTAGAGTCCACAAAAAAAAATTCTATCTAGTACTGACACAAATTTCGTTCCTTATCAAAGTGTCCAGTTCCATGTTCTTTGTTGTACACTATGTTGTTACAGTCCAGTTTCTGACAGACAGCTAGATTAATTAAAGGAATTTTTAAGTTAGGGATGGGAGTTGCTACTCTTCTTTCTGTAGCTTTCTGTATTCCTTGTCATAATCTTGAAGACTTTGTTTTTCTCTTTAGCTACTGTCAGACCAAAAAATGAAGTAGAACAGAAGCAGCTATGTGCTTTTGGGGAGTATGTGGCTGAGATTCTGCCCAAGTATATCCAGCAAGTACAGGTAGGTGCTGTTCAGAAATTGTTCTTGTGGTGGGACAGAACCCAGTGAACCCACCACTTGCTTGTGAGATGTTTTCAGAAGTTGTTCTGGGGAAGAAAAATTGTCAGAATTGCAATTATTACTGCTATTATTAAACACCTTGTTCTGATGTAATTTTTTGTTTGCTGTACTACTTTGAGTATTCTGCTGGAATCAGCATAATGTTCATTCCTGTTGGTGTTTGTACTCATGCCCTTCCCACCCACCATTCTGTTTTTGTCAGGTGACCTGTTTCAATGAGCTGGAACTTTTGATCCATCCAGATGGAATCATTCCAGTTCTGACCTTCCTTCGTGATCACACGAACGCCCAGTTCAAATCCTTGGCTGACTTGACTGCTGTCGATGTCCCATCTCGGCAGTATCGCTTCGAGGTAAGAGCTGCTCATAGGTGCAGAACTTAGAGGGTTTCACAAGTGCTGATGGCTGTGGGTACTGGTTGCAGCTCTGATCACTTTTTTTGGTTTCTGACAGTGAGAAGAAAATCCACTCTGAAATGCTGGATTTTGTTTAATCTGTTGATCATGGAAGCAATAGCAGAACTGATACTGCATGGGTTCTCAGTCTGGCTTTCCTTTCCTCACTGTGCTAAAAGTCTCTTTTTTTTTCTTTTAATTTTTTTCCTTTGATTTCTTTTGGCTTTACCAAATGTCTTTAGACTTCTTTCTGGCCATTTGTGAATTGGTGTTCGTCCTTCTTCCCTGTAGGACCATCAATTGCTGTTGACATAAATGTTTTTCTTTAAATCCCATCAGTCTTCTTAACAATTTTCCTCTTAAAAGAAAAAAAACCACAAAGCAGAAGACCCTGTTTAGTTGTTTTTAAAACATTTCTTTAAAGTTAAGGCCAAATAGGAGATGAGGCAGATTTTCAGAATGCTCTCAGAAGATTTTGGGTGCTAAACTTTCACTTGCTTTCAGTGGATACTGGAAATTTGGTTCCCAAAGACGCTTTTGAACATGTAGCTTTTCAGCTGCAGAAAAACCTCAGCTGCAAATGGAAAAAGAAAAGATACAGCTTTTGTGAAACGACATACTCAGCATATTGTCTTCTCACCTACTATGAGAAAGCTTTGTCCACAGTATTGTTGCAAAGATGTTATTGCAGTTTCACTTCGATCTGTAAAATTCAGTGTATTTCTTCTTCGCCTTCTCCCACTGATAGTAATTGCAATAGTAATTGATAGCCATTTTCTTTGAGACGGACTATTGTCAAGTGTTTCCATCCCTTCAATATTCTCTCTTTTAAGATTTAGTATCCCTCTTTACTTCAGCTCTTCTTCATCAGTCATGTTTTCTAAATCTCAAATTATTTTTGTTACACTCCTAAGGACCAAAGTGATAAACTATTGGAACTTCAGTTGTTATAGTGTCTTTTGTTGACCAGCTCTAAAGTGCTGGATGTGATTCTGCTCATAAAGAATATTTGAAGTAGTCTTTGTGTGGCTTTCCTTAGCCAGTGCTGTACTGCAGAGAGATCCATAAATGCTGTACAAGACCAATGCTGCTTTTTATTCTGATTCAGATTGTGTACAACCTCCTGTCCCTGCGGTTCAACAGTCGGATCCGTGTAAAGACGTACACAGATGAGCTGACACCTGTCGACTCAGCAGTGTCTGTGCACAAGGCAGCAAACTGGTATGAGAGAGAGGTGAGCACTGGTATGTTTGGAAACAGAGTCTTTGTGGAAAGAGGCTGTGTTTTCCCAATTAAACTGATTTCCCAGGGCCTTCAGGAAGAAAGAAGTGTTTCCTCAGCTGCCTTTTCGGAGTAGGAGATAAAAGGATGTTTGATTTGCTTTTGAATTAATTCCTGCATCAGTTTGGCTGTACAAAGCCAGGCACATAACTGAAATTTTATGGACATAATACATTCAGCTTTTTGGCTTTTTTTAATTTCAAATATCATTCAACTTACTTGGCTCCATTTCATTTAGGTTTGGGACATGTATGGTGTTTTCTTTGCCAACCACCCTGACCTAAGGCGAATCCTCACAGACTATGGGTTTGAGGGCCATCCCTTCCGGAAGGACTTCCCACTCTCTGGTTACGTGGAGGTAGGATATACAGTCATGTCTAAAGTTATCAAGTTCTCTAATACTCTTATCAAGTTATAGTTCAAAGATGTGACTGCTTTACAGTCAGTTGTCCGAAAGGCACTAAGCATGTTTCGCTTGTGTATATTCCAGAGGAGTTGTAGAGATCTCCTACATGGAAATTTGAAGTATCACACAAAGTATTATCCATAATAAGGCAGCCTAAGGCCAAAGACATTGAACAAATGTTATGCACCATGTAATATACCAAAGGTACTTGTCACAGGCAGAGAAAGTGCCTGAAATTCGTTTAGCGTGTCTTCTAGAAGATTAAAGTTTCCACTGTAAAACTGAACATTTCTAGAGGAGTAAAGGACTGAATTATTCTTAATTCATTTAGAGCTGAGCTTTGATGAGTTTTTGTAGGCCCAGCTTATAAAACTAGTTAAACTGACTCTTGCTATTATTTACGTCTGTATGTCAAACCACAGGTAAAATGAGTGTTTGGTGTCTGCACAACTAAAATCAAATGAATGCCATGTTATAAAGATTCATGAGTGTAGTCCCAGCTATGCCAGGCCCAGTCGCCTTATTTCAGTGACTCAAGAGAAATTCCTTTGTCATATGACAAACTCTAAGTTTTATTCCTTGTGAACTTCATGTGGACTGTTAGGCT